GTTCACCCAAATTCTTGAATCGATTGTGCTTGACAAACCTCTCAAGGCTGCGGTTCTCTTGGTTGGTTGTGCATCTTTTTTCTACCACTCAACTTTCTGTTAACATGCTTGGATACAGCACTCTCTGAACAGCCAGCTTCTTTGGCAATGAATGTTTGTGGCTTACCCTCCTTGTGAAGGGTGTCGATGATTGTCTTCTGGACAACTGTCAGATCAGCAGTCTTCCTCATGATTGTGTAGCCTAGTGAGCCAAACTGAGTGACCATTTTGAAGGCTCAGTTGACTAGCTGAGTGGCATGTCACCATATTATAATTTATTGAGATAAAGTCCATGTACATATACAATCCGGGTAGGACAGAGGTGGTTGCGGAGACCAGGATGAACAGGTGAGCAGACAGGCTAACGGCAGGAACCAGGGGAGTAGGAGGAGCAGGACGGACAGGTGAATAGACAAACTAACCAGGAGGACTGGTGAATGAAAAGGAAATCCACAGCACAGGAACTGTCAGCGTGGATATCAAAATAACGTCTGGCTAACCTCATGGAATAAACATACAAAGAGATCCACAGCACAGGAAATGTCAGCATGGATGTCTAGAGACATATAACACAAAACATGTAACCTATGTACAAAATGAGATCCACAGCACAGGAACTGTCAGCATGGAAATCAAGATGATGTGCCTCACATACCACGACTATATGTATAGGTGAGTTAGGTATATAGGTATAAGTTCTTTTAATGCTCCAGCGATGACGGAGCGTCTGCCAGAGGTTAAAATAAGGTAGGGAAGTCATTACAGTAACGCACCTCAGCTGTGCACAACAATTCACGAGTCACTAATTACAGCAAGCGACACAGCTGAGTTGCTGATCCCACAAAAAGGAAAGAGCAGGAGAGAGAAAGGCAAAAGAGGGGCAGGTCGCGCCGAGCGGACCTGACACTTTGACTCAGAAATTTTCTACACTTCACACTTCTGAAATATGTAGCGTTATTTGGAAAAAATAATGGGAAAATTGTACTTCAGCATACTTTCAGGTAGATATGCCTTTCAGGTGTCAAAATGTTCAGCATTTTCAGGGAGATCCTTCAGCACATTGCATCCACACGCATTTTCGACAGGAAATGCATTTCTTTAGTTTATTATTTTGGGATCTTCCACCCTTTTTTTGGCCCTTTACAAGTCCAGCATACTTTCAGCTATACAGGCCATTGAGGTCTTTATCTGTTCAACTCTTCAAGGACATCCCTGCTTGTGTGTTTTTTAAATACCGTTTATACTTTTTAATTGATTCAGATTTATATTTTGCAATACAAGTCAATGGGCGCTCAAAGTGTCGATTCAATGACACAGTCTTGGAGTGCCATCTGGTGGTTCATAAAATGCAGCGCAATTGAGACATGCCACTACATAACTCCTCTCTCTCCTTCTCTCTGTCTCTCTCCCCCTCCCACCCCTTTCTCTCTCACACACACGTTCACACCTACTTGTTTTACCTACTTTGTGGGGTCCTATTGGACTATTTTCACATTTTGATAAGTTCCGCATACGTTCAACTAGAAAAGCCATTCACGTATCAAAATGTTCAGCTCTTCAAGGCCATTCCTACTTTATTGCATCTCATCCTTCAGATTATTCAACAAAGAACCTCAGCCAATTCTTCTCAACTATTTCAACAAAGAAATTCATCCATTTCTTCTCATCTTTCAGCTGTTTCAGCAATTGATTTCAGGCATTTTCAGGATGATCTTTCAGCTTTTATTAGCATCCACACGCATTTTCAACAGGAAATGCATTTCTCTAGTGTTATGTGCACTCTTACCTTGTGTGGCAACAAACAGCATGACAGCTGACTATTGTCTGAGGAGGTGTCTGTGTTTTTAAATGGACCTTGTGCTGTCAGTTGTTTTTGGACACGCAACTGATCATCAGTGGAGCTAACTGTGTGTGTGTGTATACCTGCATTTAGCATTATGTTAGCTGCCACAGCTGACGGATATCCACATATACAAAAGCATTATATTGTAATGTGTTCTGCTGTGGTGCTGTACACTCATCCTTGGTCGTAAACAGAAAACCTGTTTGTTATATTTAGTAATTTCTTCGAGTATAAATGTGTTTTTATGATTTATTTTTATAAATATAAAAAAATCTCACTCCATTAAACTTCCCTTTGCTTAAATGAATGTTGCTCTTTCTTAGTTGTTGGCTGATATAAATTTGATCTATTTTCTCTTGCACCTTTTACAGGGCCTTGGCTAGGATTGGCAACTCGTACTTCAAGCAGGAAAAATACAAAGAAGCAATTCAGTATTTCAACAAGAGTCTGACGGAGCATCGTACTCCTGATGTCTTGAAGAAGTGTCAACAGGTGCAGTGCAGCTGATATTCCTAGTTTGAATTACAGTATTCTTTATCCATACTTAAGTTTTCAGTAGATTTTTAGGGTTTCCTAGACCTGCATGTGGACAGTTGAGGACTTGACTTGTACCTTGATACTGTCATTGTTTGTACAGGCAGAGAAGATACTGAAGGAGCAGGAGAAACTAGCCTACATCAACCCAGACTTAGCCCTGGAAGAGAAGAACAAGGGCAATGATGCCTTCCAGAATGGTGTGTATAATAGTCGTAGCATATGTTGGTTTGTTGTCACCCGAGTCTTTTTTTTTTTTTGAACATGTAATAAGTTAAAGATGTTTTCCTTTCGACAGGAGACTACCCCTTAGCCATGAAACATTACACAGAGGCCATCAAGAGAAACCCCAATGATGCCAAGCTGTTTAGTAACAGAGCAGCCTGCTACACAAAGCTGCTGGAGTTTCAACTGGCCCTGAAGGTACATTTCATTTTTACCAGGCACCTCTGTGAGTCAGTTAATGAGATTCTGTCCTGACAACAATGTGCCTCTCTATTTTACTGCTTGTTAAAAATTACCCTTGTGAAATTTTTTTTGTTTTTTTGTCAGGATTGTGAAAAGTGCATCAATCTTGAGCCTACCTTCAGTAAGTAGTAAAACATTTTATTAATTAAGTTTAGCTCAAGTTATGGTATATTAATATTAATTAATTTAAAATGCTGATAAAAGTTTAGAATCAGGTCAAATCATTCAGATTTTACAACTAACATATTTTCACAGTTAAAGGTTATACACGTAAAGGAGCTGCTTTGGAGGCCATGAAAGATTATTCTAAAGCCATGGATGCATACCAGAAGGCTCTAGAGCTTGACTCTTCCTCCAAGGTAATTTATGGGTTTCTACACAGTTCAGAAAAGACCTGTAATAAATGGAAGATATAACCTGAAAATCCCAGGCAATGCAAAGTAATATATGAGAGATAATGTGTTACTATGTATAACATTTCTCCAAGGCATAACTGTTCCATATTTACTGTGTACACTAATTACTGTAGAATGCTAGTTTTCATCCTGCCTTCAACTCATGTTGGAAATTTCAAAGTTGAGTTTGAGTTTTGTTTATATTTTTTCCCAGCATTTATACCATCATTGCTCAATTTGCACATGGTGACAGTTTATTGCATGCAATCAATAAATGCAGTACATAGCAATTGTTTAATTTTGTGACATAGTAGTTATGTGTCAGGATTAGTAGCTTTTAGCAAGAAGGTGATGTAAAATCTAAGTATTGAGCACAATAACCTATAAAGAAAATCAGTGAAAATCAAAACAAGTGAAATTTTAAGGTTCTCTGTAGTAATGGTGTATAAATTCTTGTCCATATTTGCTGCATAGTCAGGAAATAGATTTTTTTTTTTTTTTTGGTAAATCATTTACCATCTCTACCTTCAGGAAGCCACAGAAGGCATCCAACGCTGCATGGTCAGTCAGGCGATGAGGAATGACAGTCCTGAGGACGTGAAGAAAAGGGCTATGGCTGATCCTGAGGTACAGCAGATTATGTCTGACCCAGCCATGCGCATGATCCTTGAGCAAATGCAGAAGGACCCTCAGGCACTCAGCGAGTAAGTTTACTAACTTGTGTGTTAGTTTCCTTCTCTGCACATAGTCATTATTGTGCAAATGAACAGACATCCACAGAAATGAATAAAGAAATGTTCATTTTTTTCCTCTTTGATCCTCAGCCACTTAAAAAATCCGGTTATTGCTCAGAAGATTCAAAAACTCATTGATGTTGGACTGATAGCAATTCGTTGATGAAAGATGAGCCAGATGTGTCAAGAAACTCCCAAGACTACATTGGAACAACATGCAGATCCTGACCGAATATTACATTCTCTTTTCTTGCCTTCAAATTATATTGTCCTTGGTCTCACTGAGACTTGGTGTGTATGTAATTTTTTTTTGTAAGTTCACAACTTTTTCATTTTATCAAGGAAAGCATCTTGTCTGGAAAATTTCAGGACTCCAGAAATCTTTCTTAAAAAACTGTTCATGTGTACAGATGCTTAAATACATCTTACAATAAAGATCACAATGCAATGCACCAGCATGCTCAGTGTTTAAAGGGGAGGTCCACCCTAAAAGGCTTCACATATTCCTATAGGTTTATGAATATGGTTTAAGAGAATGAGACCAAAAGTAAACAAATTTCTACTCTCAAAATCAAGATTGTAATGTAGATCACAAATTGTGATTCTCAACACTGGTCACTGTTCTTCACTCTTACGATGTCCTCTTTAATCTTGACTAAAAATGGTGCTTTAAAGTTGAGGTGTCATGTTTGTTTTCCTTGGTGCTTCCTCCATTGGTCATCTCCCACACCTTAGGGCCAAAGCTAAAACCTCCCCATCTTTTAAACTATTTGCTTGGATTTTGTTTATGTACCACATATATCAAGTAAATGACGAGCTTTTTTTGACTGGGACAGAGACGGGATGGATGTAGACAAACTTGGGACTAGGATGGTAAGAATCATTGCCTTTAAGGGTTGAGAGATTTTTTTTTTTTTTGTGGTCACAAGAAAAATTAATGTTTTATTAAACAGTTCATAAAGCCATTTAGGCAGCCATGTTTTTGTTTCTATGTTGGTGGAAAAACTTGGGGTTAAAACTCTTGTGCTATAGGTGAAATATCAGCAAGATTGTCAAAGTCATAAGAATGCTGTTGATAACGCTCTGCTCTGTGAGCAGGAGTGTAATGAACTTATCTAGTACACCAGTATTATGACATGGTGATAAAGTTTAAACTTTGCATAGGAGGTGTGTCAGTAATTAAAACGGTAGGGTAAAGTAGAGTAGATACCTTTGGCTGGCCTGACAGAGGAAGTATTGTGATATTTAAAGGGTGGATTTGCCTTTCAAATCTAGCAACTAGTGGTTGCGTATTTGGGGTCATTTATCTTGCTTAATATTTGCTTGTCTTAAGAGTACTGAAGACCCAGTCCTACCTGTCATCACATCCTGATGTATTTTACGAAAGCAAAGAGGTAGTTCATTAGGTGACTTGTGCCAGCCTTTTCTGATTCAAACTGTAATCCTGTAATCAGTTTTCTTCACACTTGGTGAAATTTGTCCTCCCATACAGCTCCCTGGGTGCTTAGTTTCTGTTTGCAGAGAAAACATGTATGCGGTAATATTGCTATTAATCTTTAGGCCACACGTGGCTTCAGATACCTCAGAGTCACAACATTGTCATATTTGTGCTATGGTTTCCTTGGGGAACTCAGAAATGTTAGAAATGTATTGTTTCACCTTTTGTTCTACAGTAGAATTGCTTGGGAATTCTCTAATAAATCTAGTAATTATACACTACATGTAACAAATGTGGAACTCAGTGTAAAACAAACTGTCCCAAGAAAACTGAAATATACAGTATCTGAATGTATTTTAAAGGTCAGCGGTGGCTTTTTTGTCCTGCAAGACCAGCAGTGTTGACGCTGGCTGAATGCAGTAGTAGACCTATATTTCATAGTAGCGACTTAGTTAATGTGATTGCAACTTTACATTATACATGCACCAGTAAATACATAGTGGAGAGATACTTCATAGGAGCATGTATAAATAGTTATGCTTGTTAAAGTTTATACATTTCAAGCAAAAATGACATCTTAAACAGGGTTAACAGATATTTTTAGTAAGTTATACACAAAAACTCTAGGCACCCTAGGCTTTCGTTTAAAACCTGTAGTTGATCAGCCATTTGGTCAATGTATTATTAATTTTGGTTTATATGGTTAAGAAATCTAAACAATTCCATACAAGAAAAAACTTAAGCTTGTGGTAAAACTGGGTCTAGCGAGATTTAAAGTTACGTCGCTCCACCCACACTGAGGGTTCACGTGATTGACCGTCGCCCAGGTTGTGTCGAAAGCATCCTGGTATTAGCAGTTAGCTAGCCGCTGACAAAAAAAAAAAACAAACAAACAAATTAGGGTGTGAATGTTTTCATCATGGACGAATTATTAAGTCGACTCTAGTGGATACAAAGAAGATAAGGAATTATCCAAACTGGCCTTTTCCAACATGGTCTTATAGCTGGTATCTAGAGAGGCCAGTTAACATAGCTAACTAAACATTAGCATTAGCCAACGTTCAAACTTTGATGGGCAGTAGTAGTAAGTTGCTAGCTAACGGTTGCTGCTAGTTTACAAATGTACTACTATAATACCCGCTAGCTAGGTAACGTATTGTTACTGTAGCAAAGATGGAAACTAACTGCCTTTTTAGCTGTTCACACACTGACTAACAATGCGTTATTTATCAGTCATTCATGTATAACTGGTGGTAATGTTACTACTAAGTAACGTCAGCCAACTTATGAATACGAATAACGTAAACGCAGCTAATGCTAACAGTAGTCACCTATACTGTGTTAACACTTTAATGTACACAGCACTGGTCTTTAACTGAGCTAAACGTGCAATAAAGCACAACATTTAATTTGTATCCGGAATCTGAATAACAACACGTCTATTTTTTCAGATTATTTTCGGCGAGTCCTATGAGATAAATAATGCGAAAAACCAGAATGTGAGGTTTAACCACAGGGCAACATTATTGTCTGGAAAACACAGCTGTCTGGTCATTTCGATAGTCCTTGCATTTCTCATAATGCCTCTATAATAGATGTTTGAAATTGTTGAGCGTGTAGTGTAATATCCTGTAAATACTAAAATATCTGGCTACCCAGTTTATCTTAATCAGTTGGTATATAGTCTACTTTTATTTTAAGTTATGCCAGGGGACGCATCTGATAGTAGTGATGACTCCGATGCAAAAACAAATGAAAAGGCCTGTACCGTCAAGCATCAGATCACTAATGGTAAGTCATCTATACAGTACTGTTTCTTGTCAAGCACGCTCATAACCAGAAAAATAGAACAACGCGTGTACACTGTAATTCCATCCTTTAATAAACACAACATTTGTAACATGCAGTTTCTAATTGTTGAAGCTTTGCCAGAGAGGGGGTGATACAACTCTGCAGATTTTAAAAGTTACCATGATGCTGGATTTTTGGTAGCAAGGCACTGGATTTCATTATTTATGACAATTCCGAGTATTTATGCTTTATATAAACGCTGTGTATAAAATATTAGAAATACATTTTCTTTGTGATCTTGTGATGTGCAATAAAACACAGCTCCAAGATGTGGCATTGAATTGAATCAATACACAAAATAGTATTCTTAATAATATTTTATGTCAGCTATTTTTTTCTGTAGCACTCTGTTGCATAACACTATACAGGTGTTCTGCTTTTCAGAACTCAGTGTTATGTACAGTAGCTTATGGATTTCCTTTCCTTAGCTATTCAATTCTCAATTAAGATGACAATTGCTTATCCACCTATGTGCCAAGCTTTCAGGGCATTTGAGAGTCAAGACTAAGGAGCTGCACCTTCTTCAGAAAGGGATGTTGTCCCAGTTTGTTGTGTCTCAGCCAGAATACAAAAATTAACTGAGGATCTTGTTGTTGTTGGAGAGGTGAATGTAATAATCCTGAACTGGGTTTTTATTACTTTGAAGTTTAAAATAAATGAATTGATTAAAACTAAAGTCAGGGCAGGATAAATACACTGCTCTAGTTAAGGTGCATATTCCTTACTATATGAGAAATCTACAGTATGATTGTGGTAATTCTGTGGCAATTCTCAGTTAAAATGGATTAGATCTCTTGTAGTTTGTTTAGGGACACTTATTACTGAATTCAATTTATAGTGTACATCTACAAAGAAAATCCACAAAAAAAATCACACAAAGCAGAGAACTGCTGCTGTATCTTCCTGTGGTTTGATGAAAACTTTAAGGAAAGCTTTAAGGTTAGCTTTAGATTGGCCACACCATAATCAGTGGTATCTCAGCATATTTTAAGAGATGCTAATACATTTTTGAAATGTGTCTGCCTGTCATTTTTAAAACAAACAATCTGTCTGGAGAGTACACCATTTGACCATATATACTGCATGTTGTGTACATGACTGTGGCATTTGCTCTTTGTTACTAGCTAACTTCACAGGTAACACTGAGAGAGTTGGTATGGAGAACTTTGAGCTGCTCAAAGTATTGGGAACTGGAGGTAAGTGTCCACATGGAGCATGAAATACAGTCAGTATGGAAAGTATTCAGACCCTATTAAGTTTTCCATATTTTGTTATGTTTCAGACTCATCTTAAAATTGATTCAGTTTAATTATTTCCCCATCAATCTACACATAATACCCATCAACAATAAAGAGAAAATAGGTTTTTGGAGTGTTTTGTAAATTCATTAAAAATAAGTATTCAGACCTTTTGTTAGGACAGTTGGAATTGAGCTTTGGTGCATCCTACTCCTATCATTGGTCATTGAGATGCTTCTACAGCTTGATTAGATTCCACCTGTGCCTAATTTAATACATTGGATATGATTAGGAAGGGCACACACCTATCTGTATAAGATCTCACAGATGATCGTGTATGTCAGAGTGAAAAGAAAAGCCATACGTTTCTCGAGAACTGTCCACAGACCTGCAGAACAGGATTGTGTCAAGACACAATGGCAGTTTATTGATAATCGATTAATCATTGACATTCTTATGTAAAACATTTTTTTACAACCTGATTTGGGAGTTTCAAATCATCAAGGCAGCATGAGTAGTATCTGAATGTTTAGAGGGTAGCTCATAGTCTGGAGATAGATCCTAACTGGTCTCATCCATACTGAATACGGGAGATGCTAGAGGCTGGTTCTGTCAACAAAACAACACCTGATTAAATTGTGTCTGCAGGATTGTTTTTAAATATGCATGGTTGATTGTAAGACAGTTGAATAATTTTTGCACCTGTTCAACCTCTGCTCATGTTGCAGTGGCTCCAGACTTAATTGGGGTACAATGTGATTACATTTAATTGTTTTATGGTAGTTTTTAACTTTCTTACTAGCAGTAATTTGAATCACTCAAATGAGGAAATATTTGTCTTTGTTTAGCTTATGGAAAAGTGTTTTTGGTCAGGAAGAACAGCGGTCACAATGTGGGCCAGCTATATGCTATGAAGGTAAGAATATTAGTTGATGTGATTACAGTCATAAAAAGTTTACATTTTTGGGTAATGTTTTAATTTCAAGATGGGAAACCCTTTAAACTGTTTAAATGATTCAATGACTTTGCTCTTATTCAAAATTCAGTTATAGTACAGTATATAGTAAAGATTGAAAGTTGAAAGAAGAAATGTAGAAAAAATATGCCATTTATTTTAGCTGTATTATGGATGTACACATTGCATTGACTTAGTGTAGTATTTTACCTAATATCATCTTTAGAATTTAAAAATATTAAATTAAGCCTATTTTAATGACTACCCTAGGTGTTAAAGAAAGCAGCTGTTGTTCAAAAGGCAAAAACAACAGAACACACCCGGACTGAGAGGCAGGTGTTGGAGCACATCCGCCAGTCTCCGTTCCTGGTCACGCTTCACTATGCCTTTCAGACACAGAGCAAACTACACCTCATATTGGGTGAGTGGTGGGACCCTAGAGCCAGATGTGGAGATCACATGTCCTGTCTTGAAGAGCTCAATGGATTTTCTCTTCATGTTTCTGTCTATCATTGTATGTCTGTTTATTGACCTTTTGTACATGATGTGTGTTTGTGTAATATTTGGGTGATATTTATTTAAGATTCCTGTGTATTTGTCTCTGTGTGTGAGTACAGACTATGTGAGCGGCGGGGAGTTGTTCACTCATTTGTACCAGCGGGATCACTTTCCTGAGGAGGCGGTGCGGATATATATTGGGGAAATAATCCTTGCTCTGGAGCACCTGCACAAGGTGCGTGTCACTCAGCTCTATAACGTCAGTGTTTTGACTCTAGGGGGAAGAAGCAAGACAGCAAGCTTACAGAGCCACTGCACTGACATAATACCCCCATACAGTTGTTATAGGTGATGTTTGGCACATCACCTTAAAGACACATTTAGCAGACACGGCAAAATTATCAACCTATTGGAGTTGTTTGTGGACATCTGATTTGGTTGCCGCCAACTCCTCAGTAAAATAAATGGGTCTTTTTTCTTCTAAATGGGTGACCTTCTTCACTAGATAGTCACAAACTGCGTCTGTCATTTTAATCTTACTGCCTGAAATACTCTCTCACATGCTGATGTTGCCTAATGGTTACTTAATAAAGTTTCTCAACTAGCTGCAGGTGGAAACCTACTGAATTTCAGCAAGCAACGGTAGTTTTGAAAGACTCTTACAGTATGTCATTTTGCATCATGTGCACTGTATAGACGGAGGGTAGAATGTGCACATTTTAAGGTTGTTTTAAGAATATTTTGACAACACTCCTGAGGTTTCTATTAATAGTAGTCTAACTTTGTAGCATCACAGGCATTACCAAAATAAATAAAATTGTTTACTTTGGAACCATTTGCTATATAGTAGATTGATGTAGCTTGTCATGTAGCTTCTCATTTTCTCAGGTATTGCGGCAGTTAATGTTTGTGTTTCCATTTGTGTTGCTTTCTGGGCAGTGGTTTATTGTGACAAGTTTAGGAGTTAGTAGTTCTGATTTAGAAGGTCAGAACTTCTTAATGTGCTTTAAAATGCTGTGATTACTGTACATAAGCAGTAGATTACAGGGAATGTCTGTCATCTGTGTTTGTAAAAATGTTTACTGTGTATATTGCATGTCATCATACATTACTGCACTTACCATGAATGTGACAGGCAAGTTTTCAATGTGTTTTCTATACAGCTTGGGATCGTCTACAGAGACATCAAATTGGAAAACATTCTTCTCGACAGTGAAGGCCATGTGGTTTTGACAGATTTTGGGCTCAGCAAAGAGTTTCTGGACGAAGAGGTATATGAGCACTTTAGTAATATCTAAACACCAAATGTGTCTGCATCTGGACAATGTGTGTATTCTGTTATTGTAATCATAATATTTTTTTCATTTAAGATGAGTTTTTATCTCTTCTTTCGCCTCATTACAGAAGGAGAGGACCTACTCTTTTTGTGGCACAATTGAGTACATGGCACCTGAAATCATCCGGGGGAAAACAGGGCATGGCAAGGTAAATGTATGAGAGTAAGGCAGCCAGGAGGGGTGGTAAGGTTAAAGATTTTAAGCGGTAACACATCAGGAACTGCAGTGTTCAGACTGTAATCCTATATATTCAGATGGTTTAGGATGATGAAGCTCTGTTATGACTTGAACATTTAGTGTGAATTTAAATGCTGAGTACTATATGTCTTTGGGTAACTAAGTAGCATGTACTTGAACACTGTATGGGCGAATGTACTGTACCACACATTAGATCAAAATTAAGATTAGATCATGGCAGACAACACATCTTGCACTGAAAACACACATTGTCCGCATTTGTTTAGTTCTTTTTCCCTTACGTAGTGTTTTTAACCGGTTTCCCCCTTAAGTCTGTAGATTGGTGGAGTCTTGGGATCCTGATGTTTGAGTTGCTGACAGGAGCATCTCCTTTTACCTTAGAGGGAGAGAGAAACTCCCAGAGCGAGGTGTCAAAGTAAGTGGTTCTGATTCCATTTCTATAGAATATGTATTCAAGCCTTTATAATTCTCTAATTCATAAAAAATGTTGCAGCTGCTGTATTGGATAGACAAATCACTTTACTTAACATGTGCAATTGTTAATAACACAATGACAATCATAAAGCCTGATTTGAGTTCTGATTTCCTTCTCCATCTCTTTTGTCCCTCTTCACTCAGACGTATTTTGCGCTGTGATCCACCATTCCCCTCACTGATTGGACCTACTGCCCAGGACCTGCTCCGGAAGTTGCTGGTGAAAGATCCCCACAAGAGGCTGGGCTCTGGACCACGAGGAGCTGAAGACATCAAGGCACATCCCTTCTTCAAGGTCCTGCTTACCTCAATTGCTGTTTACGCAGATAGATTTCTTGTCCTGTCACCATTTTCATTCATCCATAACTGTTTTTATCTGTTTGTATGTTTCCTAACAGGGACTGAACTGGGCTGACTTGGCTCAGAAGAAGGTGCAAAGTCCATTCAAGCCAGAGCTGAAGAGTGAGCTTGACGTGGGGAACTTTGCTGAGGAGTTCACAGGGATGGAGCCCGTCTACTCTCCGGCGAGTACTCCTCCGAGCACTGACCGCCTCTTCCAGGTCAGTAAAACGTTTATCAAAACAAAATGCATGCAATCACCATCTTGAAAAAATATTTGGATTTAGTAGACCCTAGTTTATTAACAAATTAGCCTATAGTAATAGATGTCTGAATGTCTTTTCTAATAAACCCATTGTGCAGTTTGTTGTTCATTCCCTCTCACTCAAAGCACACTGTTCATAATGTATTACGTCATCATACGCCTCATAACTCTTCTTTGCTATTTTAGGGTTACTCCTTTATAGCTCCCTCCATCCTGTTCAACAAGAATGCGGTCATGGGAGACTATGTAGAATCCCAGTTTAGTGCTGATCGACCAGGATTGGCCTCTGTCCAGCGCAGTGCCATGTTAGAGGTATGGGTCTTAAACCTCTAGGTCTTGTCTAATAACACTTTTTGGTTATACTTAAAAGTGATTTTTACATTAGTTGTTGGTCTTTACTTTAAAATTGGTGTCTTTTTTCTTTATTGGAAGCCCTTCTGTAAACTAAACAAATGTAAAATAGTGTCTTCAAAGCATGAGCAGTGCTTAGATTATTAAGATGGCTTACGTTATTTTAAAACAGTATATGAGAAATATAACAATTATCAGGATATTTTGTTCTAATATCATCATATAGAATCATAGTATCTCTTTAGTATTTCAAGTCTGCTTGTCTAGGTGATGTTTATCACATTAGGTTACATGGTGTAAAGGAAGTAAAAGCTGCAGCGGTGTTCAGTGTTACAGAATTCAGTTGAAGAGAAATCAGAATTAGTAATTGCTTTGTATTGCTAATTTAACAACAAAAATGTTCATACTCGTCATATAAAGAACATTAATGACAAAAAATGCATGTTCATACATTGATTAGCCCAGTTTTTCAGTGTAAATTCAGATTGTAACCCTGTGTAAATCCATATGTTCCTTTATGGTAAACCCTTCTCAGGTACATTGTCATTATAGGTTCTGTTACATATTGGTCAATGTACATCAAAGTTGTTGCTGCTGGGTACCATTTCCTTTTGCAAAAGCAGGAAAAAAAACATCTGCCTTCACAGCTCAGTGTGATTCACAGTGCCCCTTCTTTGTTCAGGAATCACAGTTTTTTCAGCACTATGAGCTGTGTCTTCAAGGACCACCCCTAGGTGAGGGTAGTTTTTCTGTCTGCAGGAAATGCAGGCACAAGCAAAGTGGCCATGAGTATGCAGTCAAGATTGTAAGCCGCAGGTGAGTGGAGATGTAACGTCTTAGTAATAGCTTTGTATTTGTGTGCTTGACTTAGCTTTATGCTATCACCATAGCAGCAGAACACTGGATGTTTCTTTTGACTGTGTTAGAATGGAGGCAAACACTCAGAGGGAGATTGCTGCTTTGAGACAATGTGAGGCTCATCCCAACATCGTCAAGCTGCATGAAGTATATGCTGATCAGGTACAATGGAGAGAAACCACATAAGATGATGTACAATTATTGGCATAGCATTAATGCAAAAAAAAAATTTATATATTATATGTGCTTTCTAGGATGTAATTCTGGATATTAAGCCACGGGCAACAAGTGTCATAAACCTAATTTTTGCACATCTCACTCTCCGTTAGTTCCACACATATTTAGTGATGGAACTTCTACAAGGTGGGGAGCTGCTAGAAAGGATCAAGAGGAAGAAACTCTTTGGCGAGGCAGAGGCCAGTCAGCTGTTACAGAGCCTAGTGTCAGCTGTCAGCTTCATGCATGAGAACGGAGTCGTGCACAGAGATCTCAAACCAGAGGTGGGCTGTGACTTACTGACTTGATTATTTCCTGAAAATATACAATGTGTCCCATATCTGATGCAGATTTTATTTAAAAAAAATCCATCCAACACTGTTGTTTTATAATTCTACTGTATCACATTACTGAAATTAGAAATGCATTTCGAGAATTAAAACAGAAACTTATGTTTTAGAAGTTAGGAAGGAGGCCATGGTGTCTGAAATCACTGGCCCCAGTAACATGG